ATATATATATATGAACATATTCTTCATTTTGTGCATTTTTTTTTATCTCAGTTGTCATCCCCATGGACTTCCCACCACCAATTCACCCATGTGCCATCACCATAGTCCCATGCACTCTTCCCACCCCAGTTTAGATCCTGTTCCCCTCTCCACCCCTATAAAATGAACAAACTGCCTGATTTTGAAACCCAAATTGGTCAAGTTATTTAGACAAGTTTTCTCATCACCACCATAACAGAACCTAACTCATGAGGTCACTATAAGGATTAAAAGAGATAATCCATGTAAAACATACAATCATAAGCATTTAATAAACCTTAGCTATTATTTCTATTCATAGCAATGTCTTTTTCTTCCTTGGTATCCTGGGTGTACAAGGAACTTTGTCATTTATAGCTTGAACAAAATGTATGACTTCTCAGCTGTGTGTCTTTGAGCAATTTTTATTCTCTCTACTGTTGTATCCTCATGTAATATGGTGCTAATTACAATACCTAACTCACAGGGTTACGGTGGAGATTAAACAGGTGAGCAAAGGGAAAGCAGTTAACACAGTGCCTGACATATACTAAGTACTAGATAATTCATAAATGTGAGTTTTTACTGCACTCTTCTATGCCAAGCAGTGAACAGTGTCTGGTATGTAGAAGATAATGATAATCAGATTGAATAAAAGAATTAATTTCAAAAATTACCTTTTAGCCTCCATTGTCTAAATTTTATTCTGTTGTTTCACTCACTGCATCTATAATAGGTGATTATTTAATCTTTGGTGATGCCAGACAACCCAGCTATGGAAAAACCCCAAGGCAGCTTTGAACTGCAGCCCCGAAGTGTGAATTAGGTTCTATAAAATCCTGTTCATTGAGACTTTGCCATAATGTTGGCTAAATTTTAATCTTAATGCTGTGTCCATGGAAACGTCAACCTTTCTAGCCTTTCCACAGATATGGGCTCCCCTGGAGGAAGCAAAATCACTCAACAAACACAAGAGCTGAAGACCCCTTTTTT